CCCCAAGTTTGTATCAGTATCGACAGAGAATTAACGACATATGCCCGGGGGGACCTCGAGTACCCCCTGGGGCGAAACGACACGGCCGAACCCAAAAAGACAGAATTCCCAGCGCGCCCCAAATTTTTGGATCTAATGTGCTATCAATACCCCCTTTGGCATTCGACTGCGGCGTACTATTGGCATGAAGGAGAACTTCCTGGTGTAGTCTACGACTATTTTCCTTTCGCTTCACCCGCTCTCCTTGAAGGATGCGAGGCTTTTTTCTAGGGATACCAACGGGACACCTTTTTTTTCTTTCTACTTTTTTCATTTGTTCATGGGATTATTCATTGGGACGGCGAAATAAGGGCATAACCGTCACCACCCCCGAGAGGCCTGATGCCCGGGGGTCGCGTCGACTTTTTGAAACGGGAAAGGACACACAGCATATACCACATGTCAGGAAGGGACAGGAATATTATAGAACTGGGATCAATCCGACATGATGAAAGCAAAAGTCGAGAAAAGACCATAGGAAAAAAAGTTTCTTTGTTTCTCACGATCTGTCTACCACGATTTGTCTCGAAAGAGGACCCACAGTACACGATGGCGGGTGATTGTTATCACCCACCTTTTCAAGCGTTGCATTACCCGGAGACAGTTTGCGAGAGGTGTTTTGTTGATGAACGGGGAGGAATCTCCCGGCGAACAGGGAGGAATTTGCTGACTGCCTTGGGGGGATCAGGACATGGCGGAGGAGGGCCAGGACGGTCCCGCTAGGCGTCGGGCTAGCAAGGCCATCGGGTTAGCAAGGCCACCGGGTTGGCATGGTCTGGAGGAGGGGGATCTGTTTAAGCATTGATATGAAGCATAATCATCTGGAATGGATGGACCGGGCGGGGGGGCATAACGAACGAACGGGAAGGGTGAATTGGAATGGAAGGCAGTTTGCTGCGGACAGGCTCGTTGAGACGGCTGGTGCTAATGTCGACGAAGTAACCGGGATGGGTACTATTGTCTATCTGTCTTCCTGTCTGTCTATCTGTATGGGCCTAGCTTGGCTATAGTGAACCGTGAACCTTGTGCCAAGACCGTTGCTGTGTCTGGTGTTGGGGAATGTCATAAGGGTCGTCGTGGGATCTTTTCTGCCTCTCGAGTACTCGGGAGAGCAGAAGCAGAGAGTTATGCCGTAATGAATGGGCTTTGGCGGCGTTACCTTTGTTCGAAAGGTTTGGGCGAGAGGTCTAAGCTAGATAGAGGCAGAGAAGGGAGGGAGGGGTTGAGGAGAGTTGCCGTGCCAGTACTGGGACACTGAGAGAGTGAGGGCTTTGGTAGGTGCTGTTTTTTTTTTTGTTTCTTTTTTGCGAATACGTATACGCGGGGTTGAAGAAAGTCGCCAGAGAGGACACGGCAAGACGAAAGCATCGATGTCAGGTAAGTACGGTAGGTGAAGTTGAGCAGCGTTGTGGGGTGGGGGACTCTGGAGGAGAGAAGTGGAGGAAGCTGAACGTTGACGTGACGTGACTTGACTTTGTGCCTATCTTTGCGTGCGTATAGACTTTGGAGCTTCTTATTATTTTTTTCCTCTCTCCTCGACTTTCTTGCTCTTCTTACTTCTCTCCATGTACCTAGTGTAGTTGAGTTTTGCTCGATTGCAGTTTGCAGAAGGAGGAGGATGGGAGGGGGGGGGGGGGGGAATGGGCATGCGAACGGGGGGGCCCGGATGGACTGGGTGTGGGGATTTTCTGCGGCCGGGCCGGATGGCAGGCCAGGCGTGCGTGTGTGCTGTGTCCCGTGCTCAAGCTCTCTCCAGACTTTTTCCTCCCGACACAGGTTGAGTTGAGTAGATGGGTTGGGTGGGTTCGATGATTTGTCGCGGCTTTTCTTTCCCCTTCTCTGGATTCCCCGTACCGGATGGGTACTGCGTGAGTAAACGCCCCCCCGCTCCCCCCCAAGTGGGTTGGGTGTCACGGTGTGTAACTATGCAAGCATCCGTTGCATACCCAACTAAGTATGTACTGCGTACGTATGTGTCTGTGGTCTGGATGATCCGGGGTGCAGGAAGAGGAGGGGGAAAAGGACAGGGAGAGGGAGAGAGAGAGAAATGTGGTGGGAAATTATATCCTTGGGGTTTTGGGATAGTGTGACATGTGCAATCTCCGTGCTGGAGATTTTTTTGTGTTCCTCCTTCTTTTTGGTTCCTGTTTGTTATTTGCTGGGGGGCGTGTGGTAGGTGCCACACGCCAAAATTCCTACAAACCAGAGACTTGTCTCATGTACAGAGACGGTAGTGTGTTTCTTTTCCTCCATTTTTTATTTTCAAGGGGGATTCGCTTGCCGGGGACATGGGTTGGCCAAGGATCCGGGAGGATGGACGGAGGTCAGGGGGGGGGGGGGGGCTTGGGGGAAAAGAGGGCCCCCGGGGCCGGGGGGCGGGGGGGGGTTGGGGGGGGGGGTTTGGGGAGGGGAAAAAAAAGCAACCTGGGCGGCGAAAGGGGGGAAAACGGGATTGGGGGGGGGGGGGGGGGGGGGGGGGGGGGGGGGGGGGGGGGGGGGCTTGAGAGACAAGAGAGCTCCCAGGGCCGTGAGTCGCTGGTGTGTCTGGGGGAGGGCTTTGGAGAAGGGAATCAAAAGCAACCTGGCCGACGACAGCGAGAGTAAACGGCATTGTCGGCAGAGGATGGATAGACTTGGCCCAAGAGGTGGTGGAAACCTCGACTCTGGAGTGAAGGACGGGAGGAATTGACCAATGACGGGCATCAGACGGTTGGCGATCCAGTTGCTATCCGATTTTGCCGTGTCTTCCGGAGCTGCATCCGGAGGGGGCTCCGCACCAGAAGACGAGGCGGGCAGAAACTCCCCTTCCCGCCTGGCTTTTGCTGCTTGCACATGCTTCGCAAAGGCTAAAGGAGGGTAGGTAGGTAGGTAGGAGGAGGAGGGACGTGATCAAACAGGTCACTGTCAGAGTGGTGGCTGGAAGGATGGATGGGAAGAAAAGACCAGACGGAGGAATGGATGGATTTGGGTACGTGCGGAGAGTAAAGGGACATGTGGGAGCCGTTGAAGTGGGCGAGACGAAGCAAAGGTAGATGCGGAGAAGGTCTTTCTTGCTGGATGGGATGGAACGGGCGATGGGAACGTTCCGGCGCATCAGATGCGAGGTAGGTATCGCGATGTAGTTTTACACCACGGCTGCTGCTCGGAGAGAAATGTCCTCTACGCGTGAGGTGAACTACGACGTTGGACGCGAAGGTGAATGCGACGATGCCGGGGGGCTATGATTTGGCTGGGCGCGTGTTGCAACCGACGAAGCCCCCCCCCCCCCCCCCCCCCCCCCCCCCACGAAGGAGAGAACGCAGGAGGCGGCGCGCGGGGACGGGGGGGGGGGGGGGGGGGCGGGGGGGGCGGGGCGAGGAGGGGGAGAGCGACAACACCACGGGAGGGCTGTGGCGGGCTGGTCGCGCCCCCCCCCCCCCCCCCCCCCTAGGTGGTAAATGGAAGAAAGGAAGACGTCTGCGGATTCGAGGATTGACAGGGTAGGGATGTTGACGGGCAGCGGAGATCAGCGCAGCAAGGTAGAATCTCAAAATCCTGTTCGAGGGGTTGCGTTGCGTTGCGTTGCCCCCTTCCCTTCCCCCTCTCGATCAGTACACTAGCTAGCTAGCTATGCCGTGGATGAGGATGTTGTATGTACTGCGCGAGCAGCCAAGAAAGTATATGCATGGAACGAATAGAGTATGCAACCCGTCACTCGTGGCTTTCCTCTTGGCTTTTTTTTTTTTTTTTTGTGACATACCTTTGCCAACCGGGGGAGAGTGAAGTAAAGATAGTTTTAAGGCTAAGGGGGGAAGAACTGCTCCGGAAAGGATGCGTACATAGTACGTGCGCAGTCAGGGCCTTTGATGGTTGCCAAACAGGGTTTTGCAAGGAGAAAGTCAATTTCTTTGCTACAGAAAAATCCTCTTCCTTTTCTCGGAGTATTTTCTTGCCCGTCGTGCTTGTCTCGTCTGTGCTGGAAAAAAAAGGAAAGGAGAGGGGTGACGGCACATGAGGGGCATTGATCTCTAATGTTCTAGATCGTGATCGACAGAAAAGAAAGGAACAAGAAAGAGAGATGAAATTGAGAAAAATGCGACGTTGGGCATGGGGGGGGGGGGGGGGGGGCGATATTCCAGGTTTTTGGCCCAGAATGCTACGCTACACCAAAGGCCAGGCCAGGCCAGGCTCCTCCTCGGCGATCACGATGGGCTTCCCGGGGTGGTTTCAACTTTCGGGTGAAGAAGAATTTGATGAATTGCAGTTTTATGGCTGCCACGCTGATGGTTCACTTGCGAAATGTACAATCATCCGCAATGGGCGAAGCCGGGCAAAAAGTGTAAAAAGTCACGAGACCCAAAAGAAGAATACCACGGAGAGATGGGAACCAGGCAGAATTGGACAGAACAGAACAGAGCAGAATAGACAACAAAAAAAAATACCAGAAATTGGGGTAAGGTGGAGATTTGGGGTGAAAGGTGCCGAGACCGACAGGGTTCAGCGTCGCGCGTTGGAGAATGTGGAGACCGGCCGAGCTGCAGCCTGCAGTGTACAAGGGGGGCGTGCGTGTGGGGAAAGGAACGTACATAGAGAGTGGGGGGGTGCAATTGGTGGTGGTGGATGGGCGTGAAAGTAAAGCGATTGGTAGAGAGGAAAGGCACGGCGAGTACAAGCCTGTTTTGGGTTGGATTGGGTGATTGGGATGGATGAATCAAATTTGGGGAATAACGACGCTTGATATTCAAAAGGCAGTATAGCACCTTGAAATTGGCCAATACACCAGAAACGCTAAATGCATGTTATTCTTCTTTCGCGTCGGAAAAGATTTATTTTCTCGCCCCCCCTTCCCCCCATCGCCCGTCATCATGGACTACAAGCCCGACCGCAAGCGGAGCCATCATCCCATCATCTCGCTCCGGCTCTTGCGCCGTCCGCCCGGGCCCTCCGGCTCAACCGTCCGGTGTGATCCGTCCCCTCCTCCCTTAGCCGTGCACGGGGCTGGGGGTCTCCCGAATCGCCCGGATGGTCTCCCTCATCCGCGGGTTAGCGTCGAAGCTAGCCTCGATGAGGTCCACGACCTCGTCCGCCGAAAAGTACAGGCTGAGCTCGCTGTCGCACCAGAGGTACTTGACCTCATTGAGGTTGGACTGGAGCACCTCGCTCAGGTACTTGAGACGGAGCCACGTGGCCGCGTACTGCGCCGTTGTCGGAATCTCGTCTGCTGCCGCCGCCCCCGTGGTCCGCGACGGCAGAAAGAGGTCGTCGAGCTCCGTGACCTTTGCAATGAGCTTCGCGATCCCGTACGCGTCGTCCTGTCCGATGGACGACGCGTCCATGACATCCCCGATAATCTTGGACGACAGCCCATCCAGGAGCGACCCCACCGCCTGGTACCACACCGAGCGTGCGAGAATCGATTCCCATGTCACCGCCATGGATCTGACCCGCGCTAGTGCCGAGTCCACGCAACTGTCCAGTTCATCCTGCTGCATGAGACTTTGATCGCCTGTGCGTCTTGCGTTAGCCCAAAAGCCATACCGACTGCCGGCAGTCTGCAGCAAGTGCTTTCAGCCCAGGCTAGAACAAAACGTACCTCCTAGCAGATCTCGCAGCACCGTTTTCTGCAACCCCAGCTCGTTAGTGTATGCGCGCGTCGCAAAGTTCTGCAGGCTCTTGATGTCGTTGTCTATGCGCAGCATGTTCTGGGCGCGTGTGGTGAGATCCCCGCGTGACTTCCACGTTGATGCCAAATCAGCCAGCTTCTCAGACAAATACATGGCATCGTTGTAGAGGAACCTAGACGTTGGTCAGCTTCGAAAGGATACCCCTACAGAACGCTTACATGTTCCCGCCAATGTCGAGTGAGTAGTAGTGCGGCGACACTGCTCGAAACATGGCTAATGCGAATGTCGGCAAACTGAAGAGGCCCGGCCCGGCGGCTGCCACTGGGCTACTTTCGTACCTATCAATGTTAGAAGGATCACCGTGTTGACATGAGCTCGCAACATACTCGGGCTGTGTCAGAGCCGCGCCGTCTTCGAGGAGGGCCAGTATAAGCTCCAGCACCGGCTCCGGCATGGAGGAGATGTGGTACGTCTCCTTGAGAACCATCTCCCTGCTCTCATCTGGCTCAGCAGATACCGTCTTGTGTTTTTTCGTCTGCGTCTTTGCTGCTTGAGGCTTCGGTTCTGGCTCCGTTGGCTCTGTCGCATCATCATCCCCCCAACCCCACGCGTCGGCTGCGTCGTCCTCATCGTCTGCCGTCTTTTCCTCAACCTGCGCGGTCTCCTCTTGGGCGGTCTCTGTAGTTTGCTCCTCATCGTTCCATCCCCAGGCATCAGCACCGTCGTCTTCCTCTTGTGTGTCGCCTTTAGCTTCTGGTTCCTCGTCATCGTCGACTCCCCATTCCGCGCCCCAGTCATCTTCTGCGACGGTACCGGCTACACCGTTCGCCGTCAACTCCTTGCCTTCGGACCGAGACACCATTTGCTTTTCCACCTTTTCGACTTGCTTTGTGGCGCCGAGACCTACGCAACGTCAGCAAGATTTTGAATAGGCATACACTGGGTGACAGACCGTTTGACATTTGCACCCTGACCGAATCAAGGGCTGTTTCTCTGCACTTTGCAAGCCATATTGACGGCGCACTGCCAACCCATTCCTTGAGCTCCGTAAACCCAGTGAATCCGTTGTCTTCAAGGACCTCGCAAAAGCGCCGTGCAGATTCGATGACAGCCTGGAACCTCCCGAGGTCCTTGAGATTTGAGGGCACTTCTGAGTCGAGCCAGACTGAGATGAGCCTCGGGACCAGGTCGCTCATCATGATGGGGCTGAAGAACATGAGGAGGTCCGGTGTCAGTCTCTTGGCTAGGAACTCAACCATCTTTTGGAGATCCGTGAATAGCTCGTCGATTGATCTGCCAGCTTGACCATTCAATTCCACAACGTTCTGCCGGGGTCAGCAACTGAGCCGTCAGACTGTCTTTGGGACATACCTCAGTCTCGCGGATGGAAGGCAGCGATGAAGCTTGCGTGTCCATGCGCGGAAACACAATGGCCTTGTCGACATCGTGCCACAGCTTGGACATGCGGTCTTCAACCTCTTTGTAGGCCTGGAGACCAATGATGGCTTCCGATAGCGTCATTTGCTCGTCTGGATTCTGTTAGCTTCCGGTGGGTTCAGCCAGACGGGTACCAACTACCATCCAACTTGTTATAAATAGCCAAGGAGCCGGCTTCGAGATCTGTGTGAACGAGCGATGCCCAGACGTGGTCGAAGACGTCGTGAACGTGTGACTTTAGCTCGAAAGCCCTTACGTCGAGGAGCCTCATGATCCGGCATGCCTTCTTGTTAACTGGGACGGCATCGAGCTCCGTCCAAGATTCTGCCCAGCGTTAGCCCCTCGCCCTGATGCCGATGAGATCGTTTGGTCCTTACTCTCTAGCCACCGGAGTGAATCGATGATGCGCCGCTCGTTCATCGCCTGCTCCACCTCCCCCAAGAGCTCGTTGACGTGCTGGATACCCCTGAGGGCGTCGTGCAGCTGGTTCGTGTATAGCACCTCCTTCTCGAGAAACTGAATGTGGTCCTCCGCATCTTGTATAGCCTTCCCCGAAACTTGCGGCGCTTCCGATTGTCGGACAATGTCATCGGCCAGTCTCTTGGATCGCAAGATATCTTCCTGTAGTGTCTTCGCATTGTGCACCCACGAGCTGACGTCGCCCTTGGTCTCTTCGTTGATCGTGTGGATTTCAGACTGCGCATGCATCAGTAAGAGGCCGTCATCGCTCGCTGTGGGCCTCGCATTACCTCCAAATCACCCTTGGCCCGCTCCAGCGCATCAATCGCAGGCGACAAATCCGAAGAGGACAGCGACAGCGATGACATCTGCTCGTCGGGGAAGCGCCCCTCGAGCGCAAAGGCAACTACGGCCTCTCCGATGTGCGCAGAGGCATTCTGATCTGTTTCGACGGCCATCGTCTCGTTCCGCTGCCGTGCGCGGGTCACACGTGTGGCTTCTCGAAGCTCTCGATATCGCGGGACCGCTTCGGTCGGGGCGCCAGGTGTCAGGGCAGGTCGCAAGCAGGAAATGGAATGCGGTAGATCGAGGTTTGGGAAGGTTCGCCTAGAGTTCAGAGACGTGATTCTGCAAATATGTAGCTAAGAAACGGGCGACAGGAGGACTTTGCCTCGTCTTCGGAGCGATGCCGCATAAAACTGGGCGATGAGCTACGGGCAATTATGACACTGGATTGCATAGCTGTCCCGAAAGCACCCACGTCACAATTCGATGTCGCTCCCCGGTACGTACCTCGCGTCCGATCCGACCTCGTGCCGAGCGGTTGGCGCTTGGCCCAGCGTAGTCTCTCGCGGCAAGGGGCCAATCAGAAGACACCACCCCGCCGATGACCTTGCGAAAATCAAAAAAATAAAGATAAACTCCACTGGTCTTGCCCTGGACTTTTGGAGGGGCAGATGGACCAGTGCGCTTCATTGCACGGCCAGCGACATCTCTCACGTTCTCGTGCCCCGCGACGAACTGGTAACTCGCAACCTAAAAGAAAGCGCGCCAACGGGAAACCAAAGCTCAACTATAAGGTATATACCAATCCCTGAGGACGCCTGTAAGCCTCAGCATCAGCTCGTTCTCCAGTGCCGTCGATACCCCGCCATCCTTGTGTCGGCATCTCTCGTGGCGGCGGTTAGGTAACCGCTACATCGTTCCCTATCACGGGCTGGCCAATACGCTTCGGGAAGCCTCATTGGTCTTCTTCATCTCTGTCCATTAGGCTGGCAAAGCCGGCTTCTGTACGGTAAGCTGCTGCGCCTTTTTCTTCCGTCCGTCCTACTCGTTTTTTCTTGTCAAGTCTTTTTGGCTGAAGTGGTTTCCCCCGATTGGCCCCTTGTAATCCTACTTCTCTTCTTCGCCTGTCAACTGGTTGTATGCCATGGCGCATTGCGCTGCATCGTTCCGAGGCTGCAAGCTTCACACGACTGTCTGAGGGCATCCTTCCCGTGTCTGACACGTTGACATGTTGAAGATTGGAGTCGGTCAAGTGGCGCTTGCCTTGGCCGTTGCGCTTCTGGCGGCTTGTCTTGTTCCCCATCATGGACACATCTTATCCAACAGAGCTGGGTATGTCTCTTCTCGGACCGGATGTCCTGGTGTTCACGGACGTATGGCCGTTTGTCATACGAACTACTGCATCTATCCGCTGTCTGGTTATCTTCCCCTCCCGTTTCCAACAGCTAGTTCCTGTTTTCCGGTGAAGAGCTTCGTCAAGAGACCCGTATTACCCTGCTTCAGCTGGGTTTGTTGTCTCCTTACCCAAGGGCCATTAAACTGTTTGCTCATGACTCTTCGAGCCCCTGTGTTCTTGTGCCCCTGCCCATGCCTTTATAAGAATCTCCCACAACTACGCGGGACACCAAGTTGACCATTTTGTCAGATCATTTCAAAGCTTGTTCAAAGCAAAGCCACACACCATGTCGCCTGAGGAGCAACCCAAGCCGCAGCCGCGGTTCCGCAAGGTCCAGAGCTTCAAGACGGACTACGCCCCGTGCCAAATCAGCCAGTATGTCTCGGAGAGGAGCGGCATGCAGGTGATTGTGGCCGATCGCAAGGGCCCCAAGACCAACGGCTACTTCACTCTCGCAACCGAGATCTTTGACGACTCGGGCGCCCCTCACACTCTCGAGCATCTGGTATTTATGGGCTCAAAGAACTACCGCTACAAGGGACTCCTCGACAAGCTGGCCTCCCGAGCCTACTCTGGGACGAACGCCTGGACTGCGACGGATCACACCGCGTACACGCTCGAGAGCGCTGGCTGGGAAGGCTTCTCACAGATCCTGCCAGTGTACCTCGAGCATGTGATCGTGCCCGTCATCACGGACGAGGCGTGCATCACCGAGGTGCACCACATTGACGGCGAGGGTAACGATGCGGGTGTTGTCTACTCAGAGATGCAGGCCGTGCAGTTCAAGAGCGCCGAAATCATGGATCTACGCGCGCGCCGACTGCTGTACCCGGAGAACGTGGGCTTCCGCTACGAGACCGGAGGCATGACGGAGGCCCTCCGGGTTTTGACCCCTGACCGCATCCGCCAGTTCCACCGTGATATGTACCAGCCCCGTAACCTCGCCGTGGTCATCATTGGCGAAGCGGACCACAACGAGCTGCTGCAGATCCTGGACGAGTTCGAGGAGAGCATCAAGGACGATCTTCCGCCGCTGGATTCCCCTTTCAAGAGGTAGTTCAATCCCCCACACCTAACAAACCATGCTGACGTGAGTGTGCAGACCTTGGATCGACTCAGCACAGCCTCCAGCGCTTAAGGAGACCATCATCACCACAGCCGAGTTCCCTGAAGAGGACGAATCCGTCGGCGAGATCACTGTGGCTTTCTACGGCCCCAACTGCACCAACACCATCGAGACGTCTGCGCTCAACGTCCTGCTGACCTATCTTTGCGGCTCCTCTGTGTCGATTCTCGAGAACGTCATTGTCGAAAAGGAGGAGCTTGCCAGCTCCGTGTCCTACTGGTGGGATGCCAGGCCCAACTCTGTGATCTGGTTCCAGCCGACTGGCGTCGAAACGGATAAGCTGGAATTTGTCGAGAAGAGACTCGTCGACCTACTCAAGGAAGTGGCATCGAAGCCTTTGGACATGGCATACCTGACCTCATGCATCCACCGCGAACGCCTTCAGGTCAAGTTCCAGGCCGAGGAGTCTGAGGGTTTCTACTCCAACAACATTATCACGGACTACCTTTTCGGCAAGCGTGACGGTTCGACGCTGAAGGACTTGCAGTCCCTATCCGAGTACGATGAGCTCGAGAAGTGGACCGACGCACAATGGAGGGACTTTTTGCGCAAGTGGCTGTCCGATGCTCCCCACGTCTCCATCCTCGGCAAGCCGTCCCACGAGCTCGCAAAGAAGCAAAAGGCCGACGAGGAGGCAAGGCTCGCAAAGAGAAAGGAGGAGCTCGGCGCCGAGGGTCTGGCTGACCTCAAGAAGCGTCTCGAGGCTGCCAAGGCCAAGAACGATGAGCCCATCCCGGCCTCCGTGATCGATCAGTGGGCTGTCCCCGGCACCGAGTCGATTCACTTCATCGAGTCTGACACGGCGAGGTCTGGAAAGGCCAAGAGCCTCGGCCTCGTTGACAACGCGGCGCAAAAAGTCATTGACGGCGCCAAGCAAGGAAAAGACCCCCTCTTCATCCAGTTCGAGAGCGTGCCGACCAACTTTGTGCACCTGACGGTCTATCTCGGGACATCACAGGTACCGATCGAGCTGAAGCCGTTGCTGCCCATCTTCAACGACAACTTCTTCAACACTCCCATCATGCGCGATGGAGAAAAGGTTGGCTTCGAACAGGTCGTCATGGAGCTGGAGCAGGACACCATTAGCTATGGTCTGCGCTCGACACGAGACTACGGCGACCCCGACGGCGTCATGATCCAGTTCCAAATCGAGCCCGCAAAGTACTCCACCGTCATCAACTGGATCCGCACCATGATGTTCGACAGCGTCTTCGACATCCAGCGCCTCAAGGCGGGCGTCCAGAAGCACCTGGCCGACATCCCCGAGCTGAAGCGTGACGGCAGATCCATGGCGTCCGAAATCGACATGTCCATCCACATGAAGAAGGAGTCCTACTCGGTCGCCAAGCGCGCACTCGTCAGAGCAATCTACCTGCGCCGCCTCAAGAAGCTCATCGCCTCCGACCCGGAAAAGGTCCTCTCCTGGTTCGAGCAGCTGCGCAAGTCCCTCTTCACCTCGAACAACGTGCGCATCCTCGTCACCGCCGACGTCGCCCGCCTGCCCGAGCCCGTGGCCGCCTGGGACATCCTCAGCACCCAACTCGGGGGCTCCGACGAGCTGCTCCCCATCGTCAAGCCGCACACCTTGCTCACAAAGGAGGGCCAGAACCCGGGTACCGTCGGCGCCACCATCGTGCCCATGACCACGGCCGAGAGCTCCTACGGCGTCAGCACGGCCAAGGGCATCACCTCCTTCGACGACCCCCGCCTCCCGGCCATCATGGTGGCCATCGGCTACCTCGAGACCACCGAGGGCCCCCTCTGGAACTCGGTCCGCGGGCAAGGGTTGGCGTACGGCTCGTATTTCGGCCGCGAGCTCGACACGGGCGTGATCCAGTACAAGGTGTACCGCTCGCCGGACGCCAGCAAGGCCTTTTCCGTGTCGCGCGAGACGATCCGCAAGATCGCCGAGGGCGAGGTCGAGATCGACCGCCACCTCAAGGAGGGCGCCATCAGCCAGGTCGTCGTGCAGTTCGCCGACGAGCAGTCGACCATGGCGTCGTCGGCGGCGCAGAACTTCATGCTCGGCGTCGTGCGCAGCCTGCCGCTCGACTGGCACAAGAAGGTCATGAGGGACGTCCGGGACGTGACGGACGAGCAGATCAAGACGGTGCTTAAGGAGCTCGTCATGCCTGTTTTCGAGCCGGGCAAGAGCAATGTCGTTATTACCTGCGCTCCGATCCTGCAAGAGGTATGCCTTTCCCCCAGCTTCACGACAGACATTTACTGACACATGGTTACAGAACATTGAAAAGGCGTTCAAGGAGATGGGGTACAAGACGGATGTCCAGCAACTCGCCTACTTCCACGACGACTACGGCCTCAAGGGCGACGAGGACGAGGAGGAGCTCGAGGAAGACGAGGATGACGAGGATGACGATGACGAAGAGGACGATAGCGAGGGCGAATACAGTGATGAAGAGTCGGATTAAGACGGCGGGCAAAAGACCATGTTAGAAGAAGAAGACTAGCGTCGATAGAGCTGGCAGCCGCAGCACCTTTCGCTTCTGGGCTAGAATATCAGAGACGTATGCTTAAGATATACGAAGGAGTCTCAACCATGTTTGTGATTTCGGCAACGGCTGGGCCCCCTTGTCCAAGGGGTGTCATCCGGGGACCGTCTCTCGATACGGGATGATCAATCTAGTGAAGCTCCATGTCTGCCCGTCTACCCCTTTTCAATAGGCTCTACAGATCTTCACGAAGCTGGATCGAGCTGATCTAGCTGTATCTCTCTTCACAGACGTCTGAGAAGTTTGATTCTTGTCGTCTTTTCTCCCTGCCAAAAACGCAGTTGGAACGGTACAGAGGCGCGACCACAGCCGTCAACAATCCCCATGGAGTCCTGCAGAGCGCTGTTCAAGTTCCAGTGTTTCTTTATGCTTTAGTCAGAGCTGCATGGCTATGCAATCCATGGAATAGAAACGATTTAATTCGCAAAAGGTGCTACAAAAAAAAAACCCGGATCATTATCCGTTCCCAGCAGGGATGTAAGAGTGTGGAAAGCTCCCCCGATACTCTGCCAGGAAGCCCAGAAAACACCAAAAACACCAATCTTGAATTTTGGAAAAAGGAAACCACGAAGAATGTACATCTCAGAATTCAAAGTTCCCTAATCCCTTTGCAAAGTAACAAAACCCGTACATGAATGCGTTATACACTTTCTAA